AAGCCAACCCCAAGGCTCCCAAGACACCATGCCCTGCAAAGGTGTTCCAGCAAATGCTTGGCCCACACAAAGAGGCAGTCCAACTCCCTCAGTTTATGATATACCAAGACCCACTTCTCTTGACATCTCAACTTCACCCAAAGTTGCGCCAGTCCTTCCAATTTATGACAAGCCCCCAACTCAGACACTTACAGATGAGTCAGTATATGTTGTGCCACCCAAAGAGGAACGCTTCAACCAAGTTTTAGGTGTCTCCCACGTTGATCATATACCCCTAGAGTGCAGAGGTGACTCAAGCAATGCTCATGAACTCAATAAGGTAAGGCTGCAGCGCATGAGGAACTTTATGGCTTGTACATCTTTCCACACCCTTCCAGGAAGTGGGGAGTCACTTGGGCGGGATGACAGTGAGAGAGGTAGAATCTCACATCCCTCTGCAGCAGACAGTCAAAGAATCAGCACAGCGTCCAGTTCTTCCACCAGCTCCTGTGACTCTCTGGCTCTGAGCTCTTCTTCTCCAGAGCCCTTGCGAGAGGTCACACTCTGCCAGGACGAAGCCTGCCGCAGAGTTCTTGACCTGCAGGAGTCCATTAGCCGGGCTGTGCCCCAGCTTATGGAGTTTGTCAGCAGTCACTGGAGGAGCAAAGAACATCTTCAGAAACACCTGAAGGAGATCAAAGAAGCTGCAGAGGGGATTGCCAGTTCTCTGACCTGCTTCCTGAACTTTGCCCTGGACGTTAAGGGTAATGCCCGTCGTTTGACTGATACCAACCTTCAGACAAGGCTTTATAAACAGCTGTCTATCATAGAGGACTCTGGTGTGATCTTACAACAAACATTGAGTGCTCTGAACATGGCTGGCTGGCCCCTCAACACACTGTGCCAGGACACAGGGCAGGTCCAAGCACCTGACCAATTGGATCGCTTTGTCATGGTGGCACGTACGATTCCAGAGGATGTCAAGCGCCTGGTGTCCATCATCATTGCCAATGGCAAGCTTCTGTTCAGAGGTTCCCAGAAAGATTCCGAGCCTCTCAACACCACAGGTCAACCAGAGACAAAGAAAAGTCCTAACAGAGATGAACAGGGAGGAGACTTATTGGAGGATGACAATGACTATGTGGAGCTACAGGTAAACACTTTTAATCCTTTCTATGGTAACTGAATCAGCTTCTAACTAAGAAAAACCAAAGAATACATCATACTGTAATGTTTTTGCTTTTCCCCAGACTAAGAATGAATATGAAAAGCTGCAAAGTAAAATCCAGAAAGATCCTAAAGAAAATGTCACACCGGTGTCTACCAGTATACAGGTCAGTATCTCCTATTAACACAAAGGATTTGTTCTTGTTTAAAGAGCATGACCAAAACCATCAAAACCTCTTCGAAATTCTAAAAGTTTTTCCATAGAAAATATATCTACCCCCGATTTAAGACTTTCCTTGTAGTCAGCAGAAGACTTGATATGTTTTCCTTTGCTCCTTTTCTCCACTCCTCAGGCTGACAACAAGCGTAATTCCTCTGAGACCATCACTGGCACAGAAGAACATCAATCACCCTCCCTGTCAGAGCACTGTCGGCTTTACTTTGGTGCGCTCCAGAAGGCCATCAGTGGATTTGTTGGTAGCCTTCAGGACGGCCAGCCTCCAGAGAAATTCATCTCGCAGAGCAAGCTGGTGATCATGGTGGGCCAGAGACTGGTGGACACTCTGTGTAGGGAGGCTCAACGTGGAGGGTCCTGCCAGAGCCTCCTGTGTAAGAGCAACCACCTGTGTGCTCTCCTGAAGCAGCTGGCTGTGGCCACAAAGAAGGCAGCGCTGCACTTCCCAGATAAGCAAGCTCTACAAGAGGCTCAAGAGTTTGCAAAGGAACTGGCCCAAAGAGCGCAGCACTTTCGGATATCGCTTGACATCTGAAGGATACGAGGTCAAGGTATATCCAGGTCATTGGATAAACCATAACCTGGATGACTGAGAATCTCCACAGACACATATGAAGCCTATTGATTCATACAGCAAAACACATTGGTTTATTCATCTGTCATCTAGCTATCTATTTTTTCTCATTCATTTTATATTCAACTGTTATGATGCTTCACTTGCCAAAAAGGTCATTGCTGTTAGCCGAATGTTGTTATCATGATGGATGCGGTGCAGGTTAAAAATGTTAATGATGTTACAAAAAGTGTCTGGTACAAACTGAAGAATTCAAATATAGAGTTGTATATACTAAAATACAAAAAATATTGTATTCAAGTTTATTTTACAATGCAATTTAAATATGAATAGTATTTGTTTTGTAAAGTTATAAACTATTTTATATTATTTGAACGTTTGTTATATTGATGCTTTAGTACTACCTTTAATTACTTTATCGTGTAAGAGGCATAGTCTCCAGGGTAGCAGTTTGATAGAGTCTATGTTTTGTGAATATCTTTGTAAATATTCTAAAAGATATGTTATGCATTCCCAAACTTTTCATTGACAAAAGACAGACAGAAGCACTGTTGGATTTTATTGATAATAAAATTTTCAATTTTCAATATGTTGTTTTGTTAATGTCTCCAATAAGCATAAATTAAATATATAATTTAAATGCTATTTTTGTAGTCAGTATCACTAAGCATGTGAAACAGTTATCTAACTTCTTTTTTAAATACTTTTATCATCAAAATAAATACAATAAATATAATTAAAAATGAAAAGAAAAATAATATAATATATAATTTTTGACTCATGATCATTTTCTCAGGATCACTGGAACCATATCTGCAGGTGTTGCTGTCAAAACAAGATTCTAAAGGAATATTTCTAATAATATTTGAAATCATAACCTCCCTCCTAAACTCTTGTATTAAAGTGAACCCTATAGAGATAATATTGGAAAATCTTTACATTCAAAACTAAAATATCAGAACTATTTGCATTATTTTAGTTACAAAAGTGTGATCCATCCTTTTGTAGTGAATCAGACATATTAATTGGCATCTGTGCGTGAACAAACATTTCCCTTCAATCGCCAATGGAAATTTTGTCATTAAGATCCAACTTCCAGGCTTCCAGGCACAACTCAGAGGTTTTGCAAGAACCAGATGTAAGACAGTCATAAATTATTGATATTAAATCTCAATCTGACAGTTTTTCCAATGATGAAACTCAGGGGCTTTGTAGTGATTTATTTTGTACAGCGTGAAAAGAAATTTGTATTTGCAAAAGTGGAGTATTTGTCTTTGCCTAGTTCACCTCACCCCAGATTAAATTACAACTATGCACTCTATGAGCACAATATAAACTAAATTAATTAAAATCCGAATGGAAGATCATTCTTGACCTTGGAAAAACAAAAAAAACAATCCCCTCTCAAAATCCAGTTACTAGCTTTTAGGAGTATCAGATGGTCTTCATCAATATCACTCCTCAACAGATGACGGAAAGTCAAAAGGTACACAGTAAAGTCTGGAGCTCCTGGACAGTTGCTCACTTTGGACGGGTGCTTATTCAAGATGACAGTTCACCAGGAGGTTTTAACACAAAGATGCTTTATTGAGTTAAAAGATTTTAAAACTACGAGGCAGATATCTTATCCTGTGCTGCTGCCCATTCTTTTTAAAAATCCAGTAAGTTCTTCAACTTTGTAAAAGTGTAACACTAGATCACTGGAGTTGTACGTCTTCTCTTCTACAAGGAAGTCAGAGGTCAGTGTCATTGCACAACAGGAACCCCACAGTTGCTGGAGCTTCAGTGTCTCTCTTCAACCCGCAATGCTGCAAACAGCTTCATTGTGAGTAAATCTTTTACCACCCACTGTTCTGTTTATGAGATGACAGCATTATCTATGTATGCAATGTTCACATCCACACTGCAGTACATTTAGATTACGTGAATGTGATATGCATTATTTACATATCTATATATAATAAAATATTGAAAGTAAAATGACAGCAATTAAAACAAAAATTCATTACCCATACAGTAGTGTAACAGTGTAACAAATCCCTGATAAATGTGTTCCCACATTTGTTGCAGTTTAGGCAGACCCTCACAAAAGGTTGTGTTAGAGCGTGAAAAATTAGGAAATTCTTTTCAAAAAAGAGAGGGAAAGAAGGGGGAAAAAAGGGGGAAAAAAAGAAAGAAAATATGCGACTGTCAGATAATGTTTTATTCATTATTCTTTTTCTATTTTCACCCTCTGATGCAGAGTCCGTATGTCCTTGTGTTTGGGCATAGATTATTATTGTTATTGTTATTTACAAAAACCTTCAGGTGGGTCTGTTGCCGCACCTTGAGACCATGTCCTGACCCACAATTAGGTTTAGGCCATTATTAGTTTAGCTGATAATGTGCACATTAATTATTTTGTATCAACGTCACCAAAAATCTAATCATTACAAAATAAAAAATAGTGCACAGAGTGAGGGAGGAACAGGCCAGCAACTAATTGTATTGCCAAAGGGAGAACACAGCTTAACTGACCAGTAAAGAACCTCTGATTCATTTTACCTTGAGATAGTGAGTCAGTGAAAGTGCTGCAGAATTTTTATAATGATAGAAAACATAATTATACAAAGCTACACAAAAATGTAGTAAGATTATCACATAAAGCAAAAGTCAGTCATTCTATAAGTGAGTATGTGAGTGCATAAAGCAGGAGCCACCTAAAGAGAATAACTCCTCGGTTTGAAGTTTCCAAATGCTAAACTGAATAAGAACTTCTGTGTGACTGCTGCTTACACATTCAGTTCTTATAGTTGCATGCTGCCCTCTAGCAGAACTGAACTGACATTGCTGCATTCACATGTTTTTTGCTGCCTCTTCAGTAAAGAGTGTTCTGATCTGACCTACGCAGAACATTGGGAATGTACTTGATAGGTGATTGGATGAAAAATATATGTGCATTATTTGCCTTTGATTTATTTGGTCATTATTTCATAAATATATATATGAAATTCCAAACTCAGAAAGGTCTGGGCGGAAATATTAGAAGGAGAAAATCCAGAGGACTAACAGGCCAAAGAGAGGACTCGTGATACCACACTACAGTGGTATTCGTTGCTGTGGTTGGTCAGCACTCATTATCACTTCTTGGCATTGCGAAAGTTTGAATAAATAAAATGTTCTTTTTAAATCAGTGGTTTATGGTGACATTAAGCTCATGTTACACTTATTCACTGCATCCGATGGGGAAGTTGCAAGTCGCTCATTGGTTGCTTGAGTCTGAAGGTAAAACTGTGAGTCACCTTTGACCTCTGCACGACAGAAAGGTAACAGAAAAAGATTTGAGCTTGTCAAGATGGTTCACGTCTCGCCTTGCAAAGCCCTGGTTCAGATGAACGTACATGTTTCATTAGCTGAAGAAGTGTGGGAGAAACGATTGTGAAAATAAGGAGAGGGACCTGCAGGCTGCCTGCAGACCTCCATCCTTCATGAGCACTTTACAGAAAATAATGTGATCCCAGAAGGTCTTCTGTCGTTTATCCCCCCGTGAAGTGATGCACGGATTTACAACATTAATAAGAGTAACACACTCATTTATCAAAATGTACACTTTAAAAGGCTGAATACAACATCTCTCCATCTCATATATACAGATTTTACCTTTATTGTATGTGCTATTGAAATAGAAATAAGTTGCAAACAATTTATGATAAACACTATGTAAACAATGTGAATATAGGTAATAGATAGATGGATGGATAGATAACTGTAGATACAGATATCTATCTATATCTATATATACATGATATTTCTCTCAATCTCGAGGTTTTGTCTTAAACTGGATGAAATTTAACAAACGCGGAAGTAAAGAGTACGGAACACTCTTGCTTCCCTCCACGTTCCTCTGGTACGCGCCCGTGCGTCATCCCGTCCCGTGCCCTCGCCTCCCCGCCCCTCTCGCTCCGGTCGGACTCTCACACCCTCATGGCTCCGTGAAAGGACACATGGCGGCGCTCAGCCATGATCCAACAACAACCCACCACAGACTGACGATGCTCAAATAACGGCCTCGGTTCTTTTCTTTTGGAAAATATCCCCACTCCTGCGGCATCCTCAGCAGCAGCCAGCCGCCTGTCAGTGCCTGTCAGCGGCCGAGGCACCGCCGCCTGCACCGGCTTCATTTTACTGCTCGTTCTGGTTTTTACACTTTCCGTTTCCGCCGCAGCTCAGCTCATCATGGGTGTCCACGGCTTCCTCGAGTACATAGAAAAGCACTGCCCCAGCGCCGTGGTGCCGGTGGAGCTCCAGAAGCTGGCCCGGGGGAGTATGGTCGGAGGTGGCCGGCAGAGACCCCCTCAGAGCCCGCTGCGACTGCTGGTGGACGCCGAGAACTGCCTCCACCGGCTCTACGGAGGCTTCTACACCGACTGGGTGAGCGGGGGCCAGTGGAACCACATGCTGGGCTACCTGGCCGCCCTCTCCAAGGCCTGCTTCAGCGGCAACATTGAGCTCCTGGTGTGCTTCAATGGCGCCCTGGAGAAAGGCCGCCTTCACGAGTGGGTCAAGCGGCAGGTGAACGAGAGGCAGACCGCCCAGCAGATCATCAGCCACGTCCAGAACAAGGGCACCCCTCCGCCCAAAGTCTGGTTCCTCCCTCCCGTGTGCATGGCCCACTGCATCCGACTGGCGCTCCTCAGGTTCCGCGTCGGAGTGAGTGAATGCTCGGCCTGGTGCTGCCTGTTGAGCGGTGCACTGCCACCGTTAGCAGGCTCGGCAGTTAGCCTGCTAGCCTGCCCACCATGACACCACTGCCAACTTCACCCATGACACCAGTCTATGCTCCCACACTCAGTGAAGCGGTGTTGGCAGTGGTGTCAGCGACCTGCTCTGATCCCAGAGTCATTCTGATCTGGTGACCTGACATGTGTGAGACTGCATGTGACGAGCAGATAACTGATCATGCAGGTCATTTAATCAAGGCCAGATATTGAGTTGATCCAGTTTGAGGGCTTAGAGAACACAGACAAACTGGCTGCAGACACTGGCACTGGACCATACTTTATTACTACTATTACTGACCATTAGACCATATTTGGATAATTGACTGATCATGTTGTATTTCACTTGACACTTATGATGATCACAAGTACCTCTGAGAAACTAATTTCCTCATAATTTACAGACCAAAGCAAGTATTGAAGAAAACATACCATGTAATGAAAGTATTTGTTAGTTGTAGCCTCACATATTACCTTAGCATCAATACTGCTAATGTAGAAATGTACTAATATTTTAGTGACGCAAAAACACAATTCCTCTCATGTTGCATGTTTGTTTTACTGTAGCTTGCAGTAGAGCTGTTATCATATTTGAAATGATCCACAGGGTAATAGTTAGTTTACATTTCTTTATTCTTGCGATCTGTATGTATAAATTAGGGATCTGCTCCATTGCTGCTGAACTCAACACTAAGTGGGTTGAGTATTGGGCAGATGTCATGTCCACAAAATGGATACTGATCCACATTTAATACAGTTAGTGGATCAAATTCGATCTCCATCTTTTATTTCTGCAGCCAGTTAGCTTGTGCATTAGCTCGTGTCCGACTGTTCACCTGTCAGTGTGGGGGATGTTGAATACAGAGTCTTTAGATCCTCAGAGTTGAGATGTCAGGACAGATAAAGTTGGATTGGTGCATCCCCAGTACTGATGTGAACCAGATTTCACCATGATCAGATCCAGACCGATATGGTATTTGGGGGGGGGGCTGATGCCACTACTGATATAGATAGAGTTAAAAATATTGACTGATGTATATATTTTTGCAATGCTTTCTAAGCTGTCATGATCAAACCCTTATGACAAACTTTTTTCTAATTGAGGTTTGATATGTTTCAGTTTAACCATAAACTTTTTTATAAGTAACCAATATAAAGAAAGAACAATACAACCAGACATATAGAAGTTGCATAAAAAAACAATCAGTTTCATGTAAATCACACTATCGGCCAATCGACAAATCATTCAGGCTCTCGTTATGATGATGTTGTGAGTGGTGACTTCTACTTCCTGCTGTCAGCGTTCATAAGATGATGCCTGTTATTTGTTTGTGTGACTCTCGACTGTGTGGAGTTGGACACACTTGGAGCTGCTCCTTCAAACCTGCAGTCGAGTGCTTGTCTGTGTGCAAGGTTTATTTTGAGTCTGTCCCATCTTAAACCTAATTCTCGTCTCGGCCTCTCCTCAGGTTGTCCAGAGCATCGAGGACCACCACCTGGAAGTGATAACCTTATGCAAGGAGAACGGCTTCCACGGCCTGGTGGCCCACGACTCCGACTACGCCCTGTGCAACGTCCCGCACTACTTCAGCGCCCACGCCCTCAAGCTGAGCCGCAACGGAAAAAGCCTCACGACCAGCCAGTACCTGATGCACGAAGTGGCGCGGCAGCTCGAGCTCAACCCGAGTCATTTTGTCATTTTCGCATCACTCTTAGGTCAGCACGACTCTGCTGCTCACATGTTGGGCTGATGGCCGTTCAGAAGAGGCCGACTAAAAGGTGTGCTTGATGGTGTTTTACAGGAAACCACATACTGCCTGATGAAGACTTGGCTGCCTTTCACTGGAGCTTACTTGGTCCAGAGCATCCATTAGCATCTTTGAAGGTAAACTGTTCTCTCTCTTATGTCTCACAGTGTGTCCAGTGGAATAATAATAATAATAGTAACAGTGGGGGGAGGTAAAGCTTGTTATTGAATGACTGAAGGACTTGAACTGTGGTTCAGCACATTGACCTGTTGTGACAGGTCAGTGAATTGTTCCTCCAGTGGAACTAATTAGTCCAGGCCGATGTATGAAGTCATTTCTCCGAAAACCCGCCGCTCTCGCTCGCATGTTGACATGCCATTGAGTTGCATGATGGGAGATATAGGATTTTGGGATTTTGGATGTCGTCCCAGACTAAAAGTAAAGATATATAGGTCTCTGCTGCTTCAGTGTTGTTGTGTGTATTTAAAAGTTTATTGGGAGTTCTCCCACTTTTGGGATGTGCAGTGAAGGGATAATGTTGCACTACTACGACAGCACATTTGCATCAGCACATCAGAATAGTAAGGATAACCCTCCCTATCCTGTCTGTGACTGTCGTCCCCTGACCTGCTGGTTTCTGCTGAAGATGGACATTTTCTGTAAAACACACGACAAACTGAAACAGAGGTCCCTGTAGTTTTCAACAAATGTGTTTCAGAACTTCCCTAGTTTTGGAGAGGGGATGTATTTTAGCCTTTTAATATGCATTTGGTGTTTTTGTGTTCTGTTTTGTGTCGTAAGGACAGTGCAACTGTGTGTTTTGAGTCAAAATACCAATAGTGGTGTTCAAGTGTGGTCATGGTAATGAAGTGATGTGATTTTAATAATTTTTGACAGCAGAGCAGTGAGATATATCAGGCTTTAGACTCCCACACACACACACACAC